CCGTTCTGTTAATAGGCCGATGTAACACGCTGCGCCGGAGATGCCGAAAAGCAAGATTAAGCTTAACCATCCTCCTAATGCTAGGTCATACGGCATTGATAATACACCAATTCTTACAATAACATAGATAAGGATTAAAACAACGGATTATAATTAATTATTATGAAATGAAGTATGATTTTTGTGATACTATTTTATGGAATGTTAGGTATAAAATGGATCACTTTTAAATGGCCACAATTTATAACCGTTTATTTCAATTGACTAATGTGAACCGTTGATATTAAATTAAATTATGATCTTATTAGTTTTCTGTTTCAGTTTCTGCTTTGTTTCTTCACTTTTTTTTTTCCCCCTTACTTCTCTTCAATCTTTCTTCTTTGTTTTGAAATGATACATATTGCAAAATATTCAAGCAACTCTATTTAAATATGCGCAAAAGGCAAATAGAAAATCGAACTAGCATTCGCAAAATTCGCATGCGGAGAGGAGAAATTAATTAATTTTATAAAATGGAACTTGGCAATTGCCATTATCTAATGAACAGTTATTATTCGAATTCTTTTTTAAACCTCAATTTAGCCTGATTAAAAGCCATAAAAAAGAATATGGATTAAAGGGTGGATTCAAGAATATATATATAAGTTTGGTGGAGTTGGTGGTGAAGTCACAAAGTCACAAGTTCGAGCCCTACAACCTACTAAATGCTTGGGAGTGGCAACATTTAGAAACATTTTTGAATAGTCTCCTTAGATGGCAACATTTTTCATTTGTTGTCTTTGTAAAAGTGTTGCCTTATGTATCATTTTACCTTGGTTTTCAAAATTGTTGCATTTGAATAAAAATGTGTTGTCTTATGAATAGACAACGGGGGCATATACTACGCCTCATATTTGTTGCCTTTGCTATAAGGCAACACTTTTTTTATATTAGGCAATGGTTTTTCACTGTTACCTTTGCTTTATTTTGTTGTAGTGCCTTTAGGTGTGGGCTGGTGGCGTGGGTTAGGGGGGCCAGTGGTCGGGGATGGTGGTGGGGGATGGTAACTGGTGGTCTTGGCTGGTTGTGGGGGGTGGATGGGAGGTGGGAGGCTTTTTTTAAATTATTTTTCGACGGAATTTCCCTCGCAAATTTCGGAGATTTACGACGAAAAGTGTCGGTGCCGGAATTTTTTTTCCGACGAATATATTCCGTCGGAAATTTCGTCGGAACAATGTTTTCGACGGAATTTTTCGTCGAAAGAGTCTTTTTTTCTTACCAACCATTTTCCGACAACCACTTCCGACGGAATTATGTCGGAAACCCATTTTCCAACGGATTTTAGGGTGTTTCCGATGGAAATTAAATTTTTCGTCGGAAATGAGCTGTTTTCTAGTAGTGATAATCTCCCCGGCAATTTAGGGAGAGTAATGCAACGTGGGTGGTTACTTCAACCGCTACCCTAGCCCCACTACTCAGCCAATCCCTATATTCAAGGCAACCGCATGCCACCACGATAGCTAAGCATAACCGTCAAGGAGTCCCTACTATAAATAACCCACAAAGGAAGGCTTTGGTTATACCAATTATCAAGTTAGGACCTTTCCTCAACATCCAGCACCTGGACATGCAAGCCCATGGTTCCCTCGAAGGACCCATGGTCATCGTCAGCACGGACCGCACTTGTTCATCCATGCTGGAGCCACTATGGTCTCTACCATAGTAGTGGACCATTGAGACACCTTTACATGATCCCAAGAGCATCCCTTAGCCAAACCACGCATCATTAGCTAGTATGCCCGTACTAAGTCCCAAGCCCTTGTTAGTCTCCCCGCACCTGCCCTAGTCGTCGGGACCACCGATTCGGCTTGTCCTATCGAGTGTCCACCATAGCCATCCAAGTGTGCTATAGTCCCCATAGGCCATCCTATGTCCAAGACGATGCCCAAGGCCCCTATCCCTAAGGCCACCCTTGAGTCAGCCCCTGACCCTTGAGTGAGCATTCGCCCCCTAAAGAGCTTTATTTTGATATGTCCATGAAATACTAGTGAACACCCAACTAACAGTAACACAATAATGGGCTCTCAAGCCCGATCCTTGAACCCAACCTTGGCCTTACGGCCATGTATGATCTATTAGGGTCCTTAATAAGTCCCCTCAATAAGTATCAAAGGTTGTTATGGAGTTTTGCTCATCCACACTCCGAGGATCTTTTTAGTGCGCGCGTGCGCGTGCTAGCCTTAAGCCCAAGGCCTAGCTAACCAATGCTCTGCTAGCACCATGGTCTAAGCACTCGGAGGTCATCCCTGATAACCTCACATGCCTTAGACATGGTAGTGAGCTACTCTGGCCTCACTTGGCTCGTTTTTCCCGAATCGAGCGCACACTTGCTCGTGTGAGCAAGTGAAAACCCGAAGGCCTTACGCGCCTATGCGGGGTGGTCGACGACCTTGCCTAGGTTGACCCAAAAGTGACTGTGACACTAAGTCAGTCAAGGGTTACTTAATCAGGGGGTTACGTGTGTGTTAGCTGGCCACACCGTGTGACCGGCCACACACATCGGAAAATATATGTGTGATATATTTTCCGTATTGATCTTATTAAATTAGGAGAATAATATATTTATATTTATTTATGTTAAAGATATTAGTAAGATCAATACGGAAAATATATCACACATATTCAATCCGACTCGAGAGACTCCAAATAAAGATTTTTTTTTCTTTTGACGACAAACACTCAAAGAGAGAAAAAAATCGTTCTATATGATAACCTGTTCTCTATCTAGGAAAGGATCTATCATAAGATAGCACATAATGAATAAATCTAGCTTCTATTACAAAGCCCTAATCTTTAATTTCTTAATTTTTTTAATATTTTTTTTTAAAAAAAGGGGATGTTGGGGATGGAGCCATCATTGGTGTTACTTCATTAATGTTATGGGGGTTACTCGATCAACGTTATATATGCTATTTGGTCATCATAATACAGGTTTTTTTTTTTTTTTTTTTTTTTTTTTTTTTTTGTACAGGTGGTCATGTGGTGTGGCTCTATACAAAACTGGTTGATATAGATAAAAATATGTATAATAAATACCGAAAGAGTTTACTAATCAAAGGCCATGAATAGTTCACTAAAGGGGATCATATGCTCAAACGTGTCACATGTCTTACAATTGAGAGATGTTCATTAACCATAATAAATTAACACACTGGAGTAAAAGTACATTTACCTACACAACAACATATTTTATTTTATTTAGAAATCACATACGACCCATATTGGCCACATATATAGCAACAATATAATGCATACACATAGAAACACTGTTTTATTTAGAAGTCACGAACATTACATATACGTTCACAACAATACATGCATACATATCATATAGATATACAGGCATCGCAACTAGCTTGTTTTACCTTCAGTCTTGCAAGAGATCGATTGTTGATACATTTTAGTTAAACACAGTTTAAGTCTGAGCAACATGCCCCCTTGCCAAACCCACAAGAATCATATTCGGCTCTGCAGTATTTTATGCAAGCACCATTAATGCAATGTAAGTCCGAGCAACAGCCCCCCTTGCCAAACCAACAAGATTCACCTTCGTCTTTGCAGTATTTTATGCAAGCACCATCAATGCAATGTAAGTCCGAGCAACATCCCCCCTTGCCAAACCCACAAGATTCACCTTCGTCTTTGCAATATTTTACGCAAACACCATCAATGCAGTGTTTGTCTGAGCAACAAGCCCCCCTGCCAAACCAACAAGATTCACCTTCGTCTTTGCACAATTTTTTGCAAACACTGTCACTGAGGCGATTGCCATCGCCTTTAATAAGAACTTTTGCAAGCTCATCAAACTCCACGATGTTTGAGATGGGAAGTGATTCACTCACCATCACAAAGGCAAGGAGAATAATTAAACTAGCACACAACTTGTTATTCATATTGAATTGATTTCAACTTGGATATTTGATTTATTGTGTCGTAAAAGAGTTTAGGGCCTAATTTTATAGCCATGCACAACCCAATAATATCTACGTACAACTTTATTACAAGTGTACGTGTGATTGAAAATATTTACAAGTGTGATTGAATATACTCATAATATTAGACACACATATATTCGTTACACATTTAAAACGTAGTGAGTAGTAGTCCAATCAAGTTGGTTGGGAAAGATAAGGTTTTATTGAAAACCTTAACTTTGCTTCAATTCCTAGCATTTACTCCCAAGTATATAGTGGGTGGCGATTGCTTGAGGATTAGCTAAGGAATTTTTTGGTATATATTGTATTTCTTAGTCAGGCAAGCTCTGAGGGAGGAACTGATAAATGGAGAGCCAAACACTTCCCTAGCACATTATTAACATAGTTCTAAGTAGTTTAATTGACTTTTGTGAAACTCAAGAATAATGTGGAGAAAACGGCTTAGCTTTTGTATTCATATTAATCACATATATATACACAACACATTAGGAAACCTAATTAGCCTAAAACTCCTAAAAGATAAACTTAACATAAATACAATATTAATATAAATATATCAAATAAACCAAACCAAGTCTAATACTCCCCCTCAAGTTGGAGCATGCAAATCGTGAATGCCCAACTTGTGTAATAGAAAACCAAACTGTACTCATCCAAGAACCTTGGCCAAAATATCTGCCAACAGATGACCTGTCGAAACATAGGAGGTAAATTTATTACCGTTTATCAACTCATCACGAACAAAGTGATAATCTACCTCAATATACTTCGTACGTTCATGAAATACCGGATTCTTAGTTATATGCAAAGCCGACTGATTATCACAAAACAACTGCATAGGCTTTGAATGCTTAACACCAAGAACAAACAACAACTATTTCAACCATTTCAACTCACGAGTAGTGAGAGCCATATATCTGTATTCGGCTTCAGACGAGGATGTGGCTACAATAGGTTGTTTCTTAGTCTTTTAAGAAACAGGAGAACGACTTAAGAAAACAAAATAACCAGACAATGAACGCCGAGTCAACGGACAGGCTGCCCAATCACATCACAAAACGCCATCAAGCATAAATCCTGCATAGTTCGCAACAAAATACCTTGTCCTGGACTACCCTTAAGGTAGCGCAAGACACGAATAGCCACATCCCAATGGGAAACATATGGAATGCTCAAAAACTGAGCCAACACATGCATTGAATAACTCAACTCTTGTCGAGTAACTAACAAATAAACCAAATGACCAACCAAACGACGATACTGTTTCGGTTGAGCAAACAGGTCACCGGAAGCATGTGCAAGACGATGATTCTGCTCCATCGGAGTATCAATGGGTTTACAAACCAACATTCCTGCCTCAGTCAAAATATCCAGAGCATACTTTCGTTGAGAAAGAAAGATACCCTCCGGACTCCGAGCAACCTCAATGCCTAAGAAATACTTAAGCAAACCCAAATCCTTCATATAGATGCATTTTCACAAATAGGAGTTAAACCGAACAATAGCATCATGAGAAGATCCTGCAATAATCAAATCATCGACATAGACAAGAACATGCAAAGATACACTGCCTTGCACATAGCTAAACAAAGAGTAATCAGCGTATGAGTTTTTAAACCCAAAATCTCGCAGAGCACTGGACAACTTGGAAAACCACTATTTCGGGGCTTGTTTCAAGCCATATAAAGATTTTCGCAACCTGCAAACTTTGCCAGGTGACGGAGTACCGTACCCTGGAGGGAACTGCATAAATACTTCTTCATCAAAATCACCATGAAGAAAAGCATTATGAACATCCATCTGATGTAACTCCTAATTTAATGACACAGCAACAACTAATAGAATACGTTCCGTACCCATCTTTGCAACAGGAGCGAACGTCTCATTATAATTAACACCTTCCACTTGACGGTTGCCATGAACAACCAAACGAGCCTTGAGACGTTCCACCTTTGATCTGTCGGTGTACTTAATTTTGTAAACCCAGCCACTACCAATTTCTCTTTTGCCGGGAGGAAGATCCTCAACGGTCCATGTGACATTGCATTCGAGAGCATCAATCTCATCTTGCATAGCTTTACGCCAACCGACGTATTTAACCGCCTCTTTGAATGAAGACGACTCCTTTCCCTTAGTAATCATCGTAGCCAAAAAACACCTGTGTCTCATAGAAAAACGATTATATTCAATATGACAAGCTATAGGGAAAGGGGAGGAATGTGATCGAGTAGGGTCGTCAACTGATGTAGCGGGGTCTATATTTTCAGTTATGAGAGTATGAGTAACATAGTTCCGATGCCACGAAGGAGGTCGTTTTTCACGATGACCACGAACCAAATTTTCCGTCGAACTCCCCCTCAAATAATTCGGCGCAATAAAAATATTTTCGTCGGTAGTTTCATGTTCAACAAAAGTAGCAGAAGCTCGGAATCATTCAAATTACCGGAATTTTGAAAAAAAATTATCATCGGCCGCCACCGGCTGCCAGACCACCGTTGACTGAGGTGGGGGCTGATCTGCACCGATGGCCAGCATGTGCTGCCCAGCCAAGCCAAGCTGGGACGCTGACTGTCTAGCGCTGGCTGGCTCGAGCAGCCCTGTTGACTGCTGTCCTTGCAGCGACAACTGGATTTCCAGCGTGCTGGCCTGCTACTGCCTACCCTTGCTGTGGCCAGCTGCCGCTGAAATTCCAGCGGGCCAGGCAGTGGCCTGTGTTGAAAATTCCACCGGCCTGGCAGTAGGAGCTCGGTGGGTGGAGGACTGTTGGGCAGGCCGTGCCACGGCCTGGATGTGGCTGGGCTGTGGTGCGGATTGTCTTGGTTGTCGCACCCCCCCTCGACTATCATAAAACCCAAATTCACAAAAATCCCCGTCCTCCCACACCGGCGGAGTTGCAAAGTAATTTTCCCACAATAATCGTACAATTTTAATTAATAGCCAACTCATTCAAGTATACCATACATAACAATCATACATCAATTCACTTTTAATCTTATTTAGGACAATGGTGATCACATAATAAATTGACCTTTAATTCCATTAAACTTCCAAATTATCCAAAATTGTTGAACATAGCCAACTCACCTAGCCATTTCGGCTTAATCCACCTTTACTCAACATACTAACAAATCACGATTAAGTAATGAATAAATAAACAAATAAATAATATCCTTATGGAATAATTAATAAATTCATTCCACTTAAACCATTAAATTTCAATCATTTAATAATCCAAATGTGGTTAACAAACCAATCCAATAAAAATTTGCTTGTATCAACATTCCATACAAACAATTAATCCAATATAATTCAACATGTTTGCAACCAAAATTTCATACAAACATAATTAATTCACCAAAACATGCCTCATAAATATAAGCACATGAATTAATTAAATGTATAACCAAACAATTTCCATTCAAGAGTTCCCTAAACAAAAAACTAAGTTCATTCCTTTTGGTACCTAAACATGATACTACTTATAACGAAGTAGACATGTACGTACCTCATATAAACAATCCCCGTGTCACTTTTAACCACTTAAAAGTCTACTAGGGAATAATCACCTCCTAGAAAACAACCAATAATCACAAGGTTATTCGAAACAGAAAAAGTGTTCCCTCACAGGAACTGAGTTCCCTAACAGGAACGTTCCTATACAGGAACTTGAAGATGGCTGGCTAAGATCTTTGGAGGACCTTAGTAAGCGTGGAGCTCAAGTAAACCTACATGTACAGGAGCACAGCGCAACAATGACTTAGTTAAGATTTTATCTTCTAGATTCATTGTTAAATATGTTAAGTAGGATATGCATGCAGTCTATTAGAAGCGTGGCAAGTTAGCTTGACAAATAAATTAAAATCGGAAAAGATAAAAGATAGAATTCGAAAAAGATTTTCTTTAATTGTTTATTTCTTAAAATCAGTTTGTTAAAAAGATATTATGCTTTTTAACTCAATCTTTCTATCTTATTTTTCGGAAAAGATTTTCTTCTAATGATTTACATAAAAACCGTGTATAAAGATAAGTTAAGTTTAACTTATTTATCTTTAAGAAAACCTACTTGCTATACAAGTGATACTTGTATAAATAGTAGAGGAAAAAGGAGTTTAGGTTTTTTGTGAGTTTTATGCGTGAAGAATTTACAGAGCTTTAATTGTGTAAGTTTGCCAAGCTTATCATCTTGTCATATTAGTTTCGGGTTTCATGCATAGCTTTCCTATCATATACTAGGTGTCTTTACTTGTAATTGGTTTGGGTTATTTGGATGAGAGTGTTTTTGTTATCATTGCATACAGAGAGAGAGAGCTTCTGTTGAGAAGTTGGGAAGATCTGTGCTTAGGGAGTACGAGAGAGATTCTAAGTATGGGACTTAGACTGGGTAGAATAGAATCCTATTCTGTAGCAAGTTCTGTCAGGAACTTGTGAGTAGAGTTTTGATTATAATAGGTTGTAACTTGGTGTTTGCCCTATTATAGTGAAATTGTTTGTGTTCGAAATCCCTAAGGTAGGGTCGAGGTTTTACTTCTAGTTGGGCACTAGAAGGTTTCTTCGTAAAATCCTGTGTGCATTGCAAGTTCCTATTTTATTCTATGTTATATTTGAAAAAGTAGTCACTAGGAACTCACCTAAAATTCACCCCCCTCTTGTAGTGTTTGTCTCAACTAACAATTGGTATCAGAGCAAGGTTCTCATTTGCAAGCAGATAACTTTGCTGAGTAAGTTCCTGGAGAGATGAATTACAAGGAGAAACTTGAAGAAGGGTACTCAACCCAACGTCCACCTATATTCAATGGTAAGTTCTATGCCTACTGGAAGAACAGGATGGAGATCTTTATCAAGGCTGAAAATTACCAGGTTTGGCGTGTTATTTAAACTAGTGATTTTGAAATAACTGCAACTAATGACAAACATGAGGTAGTTTCTAAATCTATTTCTGATTATGACAAAGAAGATTATCAGAAACTTGAACTGAATGCTTTAGCAATAAAGTATTTGCACTGTGGACTTGGACCCCATGAACATAACCGTATCATGAAGGTACTAATGAGGTAAAACGTTCTAAAATAGATTTATTGATGTCTAGGTATGAAATGCAATCTAAAGAAACCATAGAAGAGATGTTTACCAGATTCAATGATATTATTAATGAACTAAACTCCCTTGGCAGGCATATTCCTATTGATGAACAGGCAAGGAAGATCCTAAGAAGTCTACCACAAGATGAACGCTAGAGATCCAAGGTTACTGCTATGCAGGAAGCTAAGGATTTCACCAAGTTTAATATGGAACAACTAGCTGGATCATTGACGACACATGAACTTCATCTGAGTTCCAATACTGAAAGTTCCAGAAGTAAAAGCCTTGCACTTAAGGCTTTAGATTCAGAAGAATCGGAAGTTGATGAGGAAGAGATGGCTATGCTAGTGAGGAAATTTAAAAAGATGATGAATAATAAGAAGTTCGACAGGAACAAGAAGTTCATAAGTTCCAGAAACACAATGTGCTTCAGGTGTGGGTCAAAAGATCACTTCATTAAGGATTGCCCTGTACAGGATGGAGAGAAAGGAAAGACAAAAGGCAAAGAGCAATCCAAAGAGTCAAAAGTCTATAAGCCTTACTTCACCAAGGACAATGTGAAGAAAGCCATGCTAGCTGCTTGGGGAGATACAGATTCAGAAGAAGAGGATTAATACTTAGACAAATTTCCAGCAATATAATTAGATTAAAACTCCTTAAAACTTCCTTTAAAATATGTTTTTAATGCTTGATTAAACAATAGAAATCCAATAGGAACAAAAGCCCCAAATTAAGGCAGGTGGTGCGACGGAGGTGGCTGGGCGGCAGTGAGCTTTGCTCACGTAGGAAGGAGGAAAAAGGAAAGAAAGAAAAAGAAAGGAAAAAAATGAAAAGGAAAAGAAATAAAATAAAGGAGAAAGAAAAAAATACTAAAATTTTGTGTGGGAAAAATTTTAGGGATTAATGGGGTATTTATAGGAGAGAGAGTTGTATGATAAGTAGGAAGATTGGGCGTCATAAAATAATGGGCCAAATGAATGAAATGGAGTAGGCTTAATTTGTATTGGTATAAATTGTAGAATATAGGTTCATAAAATAGTTTGTCCTATAATAATATTCAACCAAAATTAATAATTTGAAATTTTTGAAATTAAATTCCGGAAAAATACAAATAATTATTATAAATAAAATTAAATTTCATTTATAAATTATTTAAAAATACGGGGGATTACACACTTCCACCAACCTCCTACCCTAAACCACCTCTACCCACCACCACCACCAACCTTAACCCAAAAAACCAGAAAACTAACAAAAAAACTTCGGAATAGATTGTCCCGCTCTCAGTACTTTTGTTTGGGTCTCCCGCTTCGCTCGAGGCCACTCCGAAAAAAACCCCACAAAATTAACAAAAAACAAAAACCCACAAATATAACCCATAAATTAAACCATAAAAAGCCTAACCCGTTTTTAAACCACAAAAAATATAACCTAGAAATTACACCACAAAATAAAATAAAATAAAAAAATCCACAAAATTACCCACAGAAATTAAACCCCCGTTTTTAAACCACAAAAAATATAACCTATTAATTACACCACAAAATTAGCCACAAAAATTAAACCCAAAATTAACAAAATCAACAAAATAATCAAAACAAAAATCTAACCCAAAATGAACAAAAATCAAACAAAAAAAAATCAACATCCGAACATGGAATTTGAACAAAAAATCAAACCAAATTCGAACTAAAAATCAAACCAAATTCCAAGAAAAAATCAAACAAAAAATGTATAAACACAATAACATACCTCAAACCCCAAATTGACTTCAAATTTTACGGCCGAATTTGACCTTAAAACTATTAACTTGTTCAACCATGAGCTTGTGACGGCGGAGATCGTGGCAGTGGACTTATGCGTATGACCATGGAGGTCATGGTTGTGACGGTTGAAGGTTGGTGTCGGTGATCGAATTTCCTATAGATTCTTCGCGTGCGATTTTTTATCTAATTTTTAAACTTTGTCTGATTTTTTGCGATAATCCGAACAAGAACATAGAAAGAATGATGAACTAAAAGAGAATAAAGGGAGGAGATCGGAGAGGCGGTAAAGATGGAGGAGGAAAGAGAAAGGAAAAAGAAGAGAGGAGAGAGAAGAAAGAGAGCGCGGCGTGAGTAATTTAGGGTTAGGGTGAATTGAGTGACCTTTTATGCAGGATTTTTTTAAAAAAAAAAAAAACGCTTTTGCGACTGCCAACTGGTCCAAAAGATTTTTTAAATTTCGAATTATTTTTAAAATGTTGAAATAACCTTGCAACGGTTTAAACCGGCAAAAATGGTCGCAATTTTACGACTGCATTCAAGACGGTAGTAGAAAAACGGTCGCAATTTGACCGAATTTCAGTAGTGTTGGAAGCTACGGAGAAGTAGTACATAATTATAGAAATTGAGGGCAACGGTAGAGTTCATGAGAGATGTTCATTTACCATAATAAATTAACACACCCGATAATAGTATGTAAAACACCCACTTAGAGATTTACACAACTATAGATTTTATTTTATTTAGAAATCATATATATACGGATCCATATATATTGGCCATATAACAATAGTACAATAATGCATACACATAGAAACACTAATTTATTTAGAAGTCATGAACATAACATATTAGGTAACTATAAGATATGTACAGATATCAAAGATAATCTTATACAAAATATATGAGAATATTTTATGGATATTCTCTATTAGTACGTTCACAACAATACATGCATATAAATATGTAGTGAGATAGCATGAGGGCTGAAATTACTGACTTCCTTCGCACGATCCTTGAAACCACCTGGAAACCCCCTTCAACTGGGGTCATCAAGGTGAACACTGACGCTGCCATTATTCCTCCTGCTGCTGTGGGGTTTGGTGGGGTGATGGGTGACCATATGGGTGATGTTGTTGTTGCTATGTGTATGAAGATGGAAGGACGTTTTGAGGTTGATGTCATTGAAGCAATGGCTATGAGGCACGCATTGCAAGTCACGATGGAGTCGGGTTTCTCGAGTGTTTGTTTGGAGACAGATTGCTTCAAACTCTACTCTCACCTGTCGAAGGCAACAGTCACCACCAACGCTTTTGGGAGGATTGTCAATGATATTCTTATGTTAGCTCGCTCGTGCCAGGCATGTTCTTTCTCTTTTGTGAAGCGCTCAGGCAATAAGGTGGCACATAGCTTAGCCAAGTTATGTACTACTTATTTTGATTTTACAGTTTGGTTGGAGGAATATCCTCATGATGTATCTGAACTAGTTTTGGCTGATTTAAGCCAAATTGATGTTTAATAATATTGCCTGTGCTTCCCGTCAAAAAAAAAAAAAAAAAAAAGAAAAAAGATATGTAGTGAGATAAAAGGTTTTGTTGAACATACATTACCCAATACCCATCGCATTGCTAATATATATATATATATATATATATATATATATATATATATATATATATATATATAGCTTGAATCTTGAGTCTTGCAACAGATTGGTCAGGCACAAGATGTGCCTGAGCAACATATCCCTACGCTAACGCCAAATCCACAAGGTTGACCTTCGTCTATGCACGTTTTTTTGCAAGCACCATCAACGCAATGTACGCCTGAGCAACAGAACCCTGTGCCAAACCCACAAGCTTCACCTATGGCTTTGCAAAATCTTGTGCAAGTACATCATAGCAGCTTGAGTCCGAGGAACAGAACCCTATGCCAAACCCACAAGATTCACCAAGGGCTCTGCAAGATTTTTTTGCAAACATAGCCACTGAGGCGATTGCCTTCTTCATCAATTGTGTCACGGCCACTACTGTTGGTGTATTGCTTCAAAATAGTTATGCCTTATTATTAGGAGTAGTAGTTACGTGTACTTGGTCATGCCTAAAGGCTTTAGGAGTATGTTAGTGGGTCAATTTGTTTATTAGTCAATTGCATGAGAAATATTAGGAGATATAGTGGGTTTGTTAGTGGAGTCATGCTCCTATTATTAAGTAATTAGTTGGCATATTTTTCAGCTTTGTTTGTACGTGATATTGGCCTATAGAAGGCAAGGCAGTGATGTTTTGTTCAAGTGTGTTAAAATTGCAATCAGATTAATCAAATATGTATTTCTCATCTCTCTCTTTATAGTTTCTACACCACCACCTTCAATCAGTACTTTTGCAAGCTCATCAAACTCCATGATGTTTGAGAGCGGAACCGATTCACCCACCATTACAAAGGCAAGGAGAATTATTAAACTAGCACACAACTTAATTTTATTCAAATTGAATTGATTTCAGTGTTTGATTTATTGTGTCGTAAAAGGGTTTAGGGCCTAATTTTATAGACATGCACAACGGGATCCCTGTTTCTCATGAGGGCATTTTCTTGAATAAATCAACAACTTTTTCATTATTGTAGGCTTCACAGTTGAATAAAATTGTTGATTTATTTACGAAAATGCATGTGAGAAACAAAATTTGTTTCTCACCATGAGAATATGGGGCACCCTCACAACGGCCCAATAATTGTTATAAAATTTATTTCTAAAAATGTAAGTAGGTCAATCTCCCGCCGAATTTCTAAAGTGTTACACTTGACCGATATTAAGTAATTTAATTGGCTTTAATATAATAGAAAGCAACAAGCTCCTTCATCAATACATATTTTGATAACGGACTTATACATGCTGTATATATCGCGAATTTTGAACTTATAGTGTGTGTTGGAACTTGGAAGCTAAGGTTCAATGTTATTTGAGATTGTAATGCTGAACCAAACATTAGATACTCCGTAACTAAGTATCGCCGTTTAAGTGTCACATATTGTAGCACAATAAGCGAATCTGATGATTAAGACCTAACACAAAAATTTAACCCATCAACATGAATGAATATAGGTATGGAGTAACTATCATAAGACGAGACCAATGATTGGATTAAAAATAATACTCCCTACAAAGTATATATGTATATAGCCTTTAGTTGCATAAATTATACGTAGTGTAGTTAAGATGAAAAAATGGTTGAACAACATTTTATATCATTAGCTAATTGGTTAAGTGAAAATTTTAGCTAATTTATTTGGTTATTCATAAGTGAAAATTTTAATGATTATAATTATATTGTGTTTTGGAGATCATGATAAAACCAAGTGAGTCGAATTTTAGGAGTAATTAATATAGATTTTAAAAATTGCTCACAACTTTTGATACCGGTGTAGTATATGTTCATACTAGGAACACTTTGGAATCAAAACACTGTACCCACAGACTAATATGAAGTACGGAATACATTTTATTTTATATAGAAATCACGTCTCCAATCTACAACAATACATATAGATATATATAGGTATAGATATGAAGATCATCAAACGTTATAATTTGTTAAAACGACATTCACTGCTACTAATGCAGGTAGATAGGAAATCGTTGTTGCAACTCGTACATTTTCAAGTACAAACACCGCCAACACAGTGCACAGCTGCACCACAGCAAAAACCCTTACCGAATCCACACGTTTCACCCTTGAAGTTGCAAGTTTGTGTACAAACACCTCCCAAACACCCGTAATTCTTGCAACAGAAGGTTCCCCAACCGCAAGGCTCCCCACCAGCCGCGCATTTGAGGTTATTATTGCCACCATCATCAACCGCCCCATGGCTATTACCTTTAAGAACTTGGTCAAGCTCTAGCTCAAGCTCGACGATGTCTGAGAGAGGAAGTGGTGATGATTCACCCACCATCACAAAGGCAATAATGACTAGTAGAACTAAACTAGCACATAACTTCTTATCCATATTGAGTTGATTTTAACTAGCTAGAGCTTAGATATATATGTGATCTGAGAAGTGTGTTTGAATAATGTGTTGTATAAGGCGAAAGTTGGGCCTAATTTTATAGCCATGCCTAAGCCAAGAATTCAATACTTCTACAGTTCTTTCCAATTATTAACTTCAATTATATAAATGTGTGGCTGCCCACGATAAGTCGATCGATACTCCCTCTGTGTTTTATGTGTTACACTTTGAATGGCACATGATTTTGGTGATTTAGTTAACTTTATTATAATAAGATGTAATAATATAAGATGATAAAAGATTGTGTGGTTAATAGTTTACTATTTTGAAAACTATAGTAAAGAATAATATGTAAGTTTTGTTTATAGGGATATAAATGTTCATGCGCCATTCATAAGAGTTTTGTTAAACTTTTTATAAGATTAGGCCAGTGAACTCGCGTGTCATAGCTTACCATGTCCGAAGAGCTCTTTCAGTTTGACCTTATGTCACAAATTTAATTGTTGGCAGCATTAACGATGGAAATATATGTAAATAAAATTTTTTTATGGGTATAAATGTCCGCACATTATTTTTTAATATAATAATGAAAAAACAATTAATATTAATTAGGACAAATACGTAAATACATTTTAAAGGTATAAATATCCAAATACTATTCATTAGAGTAATTTTAAAGTTTTTAAAAGGAGAAAAAAAAAGATAGGAATAGGATAATACTACTCTTATCAAGATTTTTTTTTATCAATTCTTATTTATTAATGATTAAATATATTAGTGACTGAAATCATACATTTAAAGACCAACATAAAAAAAAATCTAAGAAAAAAAAAAAGATTAATTGATACCTACCCACAATAGAACATGAAAATCACTGTGTGTCTAATCAAGATAAGTCATTAGTGTGTGATTTATTTCTCAACTAAATGAAGGAAGATGCTAGAAATTGAAAACACATGATTCACGCAGAACATATCAAAATCATTACCTTTAATTTTTAGCATTTCAAGGAACATGTAAATCGATCTAAAGCCCTATGTATTCTGTACTGTTCACCCTTTTTACAACGATTTTTAACGTGATAGTCTAATAGAATCACAAATAACCTAAGAATCGCTCTAAGATATCCTATTCTCTAGGATAGGATATACAATAAGATAGCATATAATGTTCATAAATCTTACGTTGATAAGTGAAAATACCATAGAACAACGCCAAATTGAATAAAAAACAACCCTCACATTCCCTTTAAAGTTGGAAAATTTTCCCGAAATAATTGGTTCAAACGAGTAGATTATAGCTTTAAGTTTTGCAGAATTTTGGACATTTTGGCCCGAAAATAAAAAAGGATGGGTTGCTTTCCATAGACCACACGAGACTCATTAGGGAGGTCAGTTAGATGATTGGTATCATTCACTTTGTCTCTTAATTATCAATTTATTAGTAAAACATGTGCGTCTTATACTCTTATTGACCTAGCTTAGGCTACCACGAGTATTTATGTGACCAATTAATGAGTGTATGTGGTTTCAAATAGCCTTTTGTGACCTAATAACGACTATTGCTTGAGCATTAATTTTTATTGCTGATGGTAAAGTACTGATAAGGAAGTTAATTGATTGTTTCTGATGGTTATCATTATCAAATCAAATACTAGTACAAAATTTGGAAATGTGAACTTGTGATTTGTGAAGCAATGACCATCACCAAGTGGACGTCCCCATCCGACGATCTCTTTAGCCTTTCCTTGAATTTAAGTAAAAAGGACTTTTTGTGAAGAAATACCATATACAAGTCCGTTTTTGTAAAAAAAACCACGTTATTAAAAACATATTGCAAGAAACTAACTTATTAACAATATATGTCGTAAAAAACTACCATATTAAATAATTAATGTTGTGAAAAGCTACCTTTTACCAGATTATTGTATTGAATAAGGGACGTTTAATGATCCCTTTTCAATTATTTTTTTTTCACCCAATTTCTCCATAGCCCTCTTATAACCCCTAATTCCCATTCTCTTTCATTGTTAAATTAATCAAATGGTAGCAACTTACAACATTTAGTTTTATAAGGTAGTTTCTTACAACAATTTTTTTATAAGGTAGTTTTTTACAAAATTTGATGTATATAAGCTAGTTTTTCACAAAAGGTCCAAGTTAATATAATCTCAATTCACTAACTATTTGAATTCAACAGAGCCACTTTTAATTTGAGTCTTCCAACCTAACGTTGTTAATAAAATTTTTAGTTAGCTTAATTAGATCAAAATGATCAAATGAAATTGATGTCTAACAGCACACTCTACCTTTGTTAGTTTAGAATGCAAACAATGTAAAGCAGTAAAGGTATAGAGTAATTATCATTGTTCAAGTTTATTGTTAAACAATTTAATTCAAATTACTCTCATTGTGACACACTAAATAAATTTTAAGTATAAAATATCATGATGCTATGAATCTATGATGAACCTTCAATGAAACCATTTTGACTATATTTTTTCCTAGTAAATATATA